TGTCTTAACCTCAAATCAGAATTTTTTAACCACAAGGGTGGTGCCTGATTGGTTTGAGCTTGGCTCCAAAGGTCAAAAGTACCAGGAGGTCCCAGGTTCAAATCCAAGGAGGACAAAAATCCCCTTGTGGCCACGGAGGTTCAAATGCAGTGACTCCGGGCTATCTGCAAAGCAAGTGGTCGCCCTGGGATTAGTCGACTCGCATAGCGGGTTGGATATCCAGGTTAATAAAAAAAATCAGAATTTTATTAATAGCATATAACCTTGTGACAAGTTTAATGGCATTCTTGTAAATAGAGGTGACATTCCAACGATTGTCACAAGGTCATGGATTTAAAAGAAAATTGTGAGGTCATTAGGCCCCCTCAGTTACATTGACCTGCATTAGCATTCGATTTCATGGGAAAATGTGAAGATAAGATATGCATATCCATGCTCTTCATAGAGACCATGGTCCTGAAAAGATGGAAGCGGTTTCTGTATGAGTGAAGGAATTGCTAAAATTTGGTTACATCAACCTTCTGAGTTTGTGTTTGTTAACTGGAATTTAATAAAATGTCATTGATTTATGTAATGCTTATTTTGCAGTTGAGCAAGGGTTGCTGGAGCTAAGAAAACTGGGGATCGAGCATCGCCTCTGGGAAGCATCAAGGCAAGGAAGTTGACCACCGATGCACCAAAACGTTACGAACATTGGACTTGATAGCTCTTCCTGATCACAAGTCTGATATGTACGTTTTTTTATTGAATCCTGAATAACCAATAGTTGACAAGTATCATATACTTAATAGTATGAAGTGACTGATGTTTTGGAGTTGATTTAAGTTGATGATGTGGAATTGGTGGGTGGGTTTGTACTCTTTACTTTCCTGGAAGGCCTTAATTTGGTCCAAAGATTAACCTTCAATCATTGCAATCCAATCAAGACTTGGAAAACATCACCTGTCCAGTACCCCCAATCCAAGGATCCAATTTGGATTTCAGTTTTGCTTGTGCAAGTAAAACATCACCTCACTTTGTTGATTACAAGTACACAAGTGTAAGATTTTTTAGATGTTGCTATTTAACCTTTTAGGTCTTTCTATTTTAGTAGCCAGATTCGATTCATTTAGAATCAACCGAAAGCACTTTGTGTTGTAATTTCTGCATACAAATATAATCATGGTAATTGTAGGGCTATGATTATATTTGTTTTTGGGAATCATCAAATGGAATCAAGAATACAAAGGGGTCACGTTAGCAGTAAAGGCGGCGTGGCCCTGTTTTTGCTATATGGGTTGCTGAGATTGATAAGATTAACATCATCCATGTTTCCCTGAAACTACAACAGGAGGTTCAACCTGCATCTTCAAGCAATTGAACTCCAAGGCCAATATTGGTTTAGAAAGCATAACCGCTGTGCCCACGTCTCTTTTTGTTGAAGATTCCTCGTTTTGGGATTCAGAGGAATGTTTCCTGTCCAATAGCCATAAAACTCTAGCTGGAGATGTGGGTTTCACCCTGCCCATTGCAGTAAAACACACGTAAATATTGACATATAGATATATGCAAACTGGCAAAAGTTTAAAGATGAGAAACCTGCACTCAATCTGGCAAGAGTACTTGAGAAGCTGGGGTTTATGCTCTGTATGGCCACTGGCAACAACAAATACATTCTTTTCAGTTTTCTTAGGTTGAATAAAACCCAACATAGCCACAAGTTTTACCTAAAGCTTGGAAGTGACATCGTAATCCCCATCCCCATCCCCATCCATTTCAATGGATTCATCTTCAAAACTGTAATATGATGCTATTAGTATTTATTACTTGGACAACAGAAAACCTTGTTGAAGATATGAAGACGTCACATACCAGGGATATCATAGAGGCCAATTGCCACAGGACCATTGATCTCAGCAAAACGAATATCCATGTTACCAACATCAGCATTACTTCTTCTCCTTGGTGTACTYTGCTTAAACACACAAGTACCATGATGTTAAAGTTTTAATATATATATATATATATACTAGTTGTGTACCTGCGCAATGCGGCGGGAGCCATGAATTTTAACGATTTTGAAGTTCCACTG